TGAGACGGCTCTCTCCCCTCCTTGAGATGTCAGAAACCTCTCCCTCTGCGGCTGCTGGAGAAGTGCTGAGAGCAGGAGGCTTGGAAACCCAGAGCGCCCTTCCCTGCGCCTGCCAGCCACCCTCCCGAGCTGCCGCAGAAGCTATAAAAAGCACAGCCCTTCAACAATAGGTGACATCACCCAGCAGCAGCAGGAACTGGATTCTGCCAGATGCCAGGAGAGCTACGGCCCCACCCTCCCTTGGGACAGGAGCCCTTGGGAACGGGCTGGGGTATATTCCACTGGATCCCGGGAGGGGAGGGAGGCTGGGGGAGGGAAGGCTGATCCCGAGGGACATGGCGGGTGGGCGTCACTGTCACTGGAGATTTTTCAAGGCATGGGGGACACGGGAAAGGAGCTGGGAGCGGGTGGAGGCTCGCTCGATCCCTTCAGTGTCCTCGGAATGTTCTGAGACATGGAGAGGCGGTGGAGGGTGGGAGTGGGCGCACAGGCAAAAGACATGGGCAAGACCTGCTGTGAGCAGCTTCCCTCTGGGCCCCTCAGGCTGCTGCCCTACCCGGCCCGGGTGGAGCACAGGGCCTGGCATGCGGTAGCTTTGCTGACTGACCTCTTAACCCTGGTTCTGGATGTCGTTTCTGACGTGCAGTAACGTTGACCCTTTGGGCGGAGTGGTTGAGGGAGGGTGTCTCAGAGACCTGGCCAAGAGGCGCAGAGGGATATGCAGGGAGGGACGGGAGGGACGCTGATGTCCTTTCTAGTTCCAACGTCCTGGGGTCTGCCAGACCCGCAGGCTCCTCACCCAGCAGCGGGGAGCTGTGGGCTCTACTGCCTGTGCATCCCCCTCCCGGGACCTGGCCAAGGTGCCCGTGGGCTTTGTACAGAGAGAATGCTGAGAGGTAAATGCTGAGCGCCCGATGGATCTGAGCCTCGGTTTCCTCCCCTGCGGAGCTACAGCTGGGGGACGGGGGGGGGGGGGGGGTGCTCAGAGTGCTGGCGGGGAGTCAGGAGAGCGGAGACACAGACCCCTGGTGTGACCTGGGCCTCCACCTCAGGGGCCTGTGGGCTCCGGGCCAACATCCTTGGCCCTGAGGCTGGGAAGGGGCAGAGGCCTGTGGGACAAAGCCGGGCGCCAAGCTGCTGCTTCTGGGCAGCTGGACCGGCAACCAGCGCAAGAGCTTAGCTCCTCTGTCTGGAGACTTAACCTCCTTCGCTCTGGATCAGCAGCCTGGGCCAGCCCCGCCCTCCCTGCCCCCCCTCCCCCCACTGGGTGTCCCTTCTCGTCACACCCTCCCCTGGGTGCTCCCCTTCTCTGTGGAGCCACATTCCAGCACTTGTCCAGCCGGCTTGGGGCCCCTCCTTCACAAAGCTGGTTCTGACCCTTCAGCCCCACTAATCCCCCTCCCTGGGCCCCCCCAGGGCTCTCCCAGGGCATGTGGCGTCACCCACACTCCGCACACCTGGTGTCCCGGCTTATGTTCTGATGGCTCGGGGAGCACAGGCCTCACTTCAAAGTGCAGCTGCTCACCCTGGCATCCCAGGCTTCTCTCTGCTCCCTGCCTCCCTCCGCGTGCCTCTCCTGCCCGCTCCTCTCCCTGGCCAGCTCCCCAGCGCTCCAGCCACACCAGACACCTCCGTTTCCCAAACACTCCGCATGAATTCTGCTGTGGTCTGAATGTTCGTGTTGCCCCAAAATTCATATGTTGAAATCCTAACCCCCAGAGGTGATGCTATGAGGAAGTGAGGCCTTTGGGAGGTGATGAGGTCATGAAGGTGGAGCCCTCGTGAACTGGATTAGTGCCTATGAAAGAGACTCTAGAGAGCTCCCCAGCCCCTTCTATGGTGTGAGGACACAGTGCGACACCTGACCACCTGGCCCCCTGATCTCTGGCTTTCCAGCCTCCAGAACTGTGAACAATAACTTTCTGTCAGTTATAAGCCACTCACTCTGTGGTATATTGTCATACTGGCCTAAGCTGCCTAAGGCGCACGCCCTCCAGGTCTGTGCCTCTGCTCTCTTCTCGGACATCCTTAAACCCTTCCTCTGCCTCCAAAGTCCTCCTTCTCCAGAGTCCAGCTCTCCTTCACCCCCTCTGCCCTGCCTGCACCTTGGTCAGAATTAACCCCTCTCTCCGCCCTGGACACACAGCCCTGTTTGACCTTCCTGGTGACAGTGACTTCATTCTGCGCTGCATCTCAGGGAGTGGGGTGTGATGCTGCCTCTCTGCTCGTGGAGTTTCCTGGGCAGGACTGAGATCGGCAGGCACAGTGCTAGGCACAGACCTCCTTTCATCCTCATAGCAACTGCCAAAGGGCATCGTTATTACTGTTATAAAGGTGAGCAAAACTGAGGCTCAGAGAAGGTAAATGACACGGCCTGGTCACCCAGCTGGTACACGGTGAAGCTGATTCCACCCCAGACCAGTCTGAGTCCGTGGCCAAGCTTGCTTTGCAGCCAGCACCCAGGAGCAGGCGGGCACCCTGTGGTCCTTCCCTCTGAAGGGAGCGTGTGGCCTGTGTGGCCCGGGCTGGGGGCCCTGTGCTTTTCTTGACCACACGGCATGGATGTCTGGCTTATTAGCTGGGGTCCTTTAGCATGTGGTGCCCAACTCTCAGGTGAAACAAGGTGCTGAGCTAGACCTGGGCAGGGCCATCAGCACCAGTAACCCCTGCCACCCTCGCCCTGACTCAGGCAGCAGTGTCCACCTGCGGGGAGCCAGGACAGCCAGTGACCCCAAGAGCCCTGGCCTAACCTGTCCCTCCCCACAGCAAGCGGGACACTGCTCTTCTCTGTCCGGCTGGCTCCCCTGGAGGGACACGAGACACTGGGAGGGCCCTGAGGCTTCCCACAAACTCCGTGGGTTCATGTCATGATGAGACCTCGTAGAGCAGGAAGGGCGTGGGACCACAAGCCCCCCTCGACTTCCTGGTTGTGTGACCTGCCCCCAACCCTCAGTTTGGGGGTGGCAGTGCCTGGCTCACAGGATGGCTGTGAGGGCTCACTATGTTAAAGTGTCCAGCCCAGACTTGGTGGAGGAGATCAGTATAAGGGAGCCCTGAGTTTCAGGGACATTTGCTCCCTGATGGCTGGTGACAGTCACTCAATACCTTAGTGAGCAGCGATGGAGCCAGCTGTGGTTGCTGGCACTGCTCAGGTTCCCTGCACCCACAGGAGAAGGATGGGCAGTGCCTCCACCTACCCTCTCTCCCACTGAGCCCAGGCCTTACCCGCACTGACCACTGACCTCTCCAGCCCCCACCAGCTCCAGCTGCCTCCCTTCCAGCCCCAGAAGCAACCAGTGACCTCGTTCTTCCTGGGCTCCATCATCTTGTGTCCATCCTCTGGCCTGCCTGTGCTCTGACCCTGGTCACCGTCCCCATTTAGCTGAAGAAAGTAACCGAACCTCATGGCCCGTGTCACCACCAATTCTTGATCCTCTGCTCACATGGGCCCTGCTCTTGCTGCTGCTGCTGCTCTCAGAAACCCTCTTGGGGCTTTGACCTTCGGGAGCTGGTCAAGCCCATCCCCTCTTCTAGCCCCCTCCCCACTACTCTCATTTACTAGGTACTGTGCCAGCTGACCTCCTTCCCCAACTTTATTTACCAATGGAGACTATCTACTGTGGCTCTTTCTTTGGATAACTGATTAGTTGGGCTATATTTATTCACTCACACATTTATCTTTCCATTCACCTTCCTTCCATTCATCTATCTATCCATTATCCATCCATTCAGCCATGTCTTTATCCATCAGTGTAATCATCCATCCATTCATCTATCCACCCACCTTGCCATCCATCTAGCCATCCATCCAATCATCCAGGCCACCCAATACCCACTAAGCACTTACTAGGTAGTAGGTTCTGTGCTAGATGCTTGGGATTCAGAACCTCTGTTCTCAGGAGCTCACAGTCCAGTCTGGAGACATGAGCTTTGATGTCCTTTCTAGTTCCAATATCCTGGGAGCCTATGACCTGTACCCAGGATATGCCAGTGAACGCCAGGTAGACGCTTGTGACCTGACCTTCCTTCACCTGGGAACACTAGGGGCTCAGGCAGCCCCTCCTCACAGCTCAGCTGATGCTCTGAAATCCCCTCTTGCTTCTAAGCTGGTGCATTGACAAGGTTCAAGGCCATGTGAGACTAGACATAGGGACCCTCTACAGCAGTGGTTCTCAGGATTCTAAAAAGATTCCCAGGTGATTCTACTGTGCAGCCAAGGTTGAGAACCACTGCTCTACAGAAATGTGAAGGCGATGCCAACACCTGACGCTACCTCACCCTGTGAAAACCAGCAGAGCTGGGGGGAAGGCTGGCCAGAAAACAACTTCAAGTTTACTCTCCCTGGATTCTTTAGCTCCCCTCTCCAAATTCTTTCTGCCCCTTTCTCCTTCCCATCCCCATCTGTCCTACCTGTTCTCTCTTCCTCTTCCCTCCATCTCCCCCTGCTCCCTTCTCCTCATTTCCCTTCTTCTATTCCTTCTCTCTTCCAATGAAGTGGTGGGACATGGAATTCAAATTCCGGCCACCATTGTGGGTCCTTGGACAAGTGATGACAGTTCTCAGGCCAGTGTCCTTCCCTAACGCCACGGCTCCCAGGGGACAAGACCAGACGGTGCATTTGCCATGCCCAGCCTGCAAAAAGGGCTTTTCTCCTCACGCCTCATCCATTTCCTTCCCTTTCCCCTTCTTCCCTGTCCACGTTCCCCCTACTGCCTTTCTCTGTTTGAGACCACGGACAGGTGCTGAATCACATAGTTAATCTTGTTCTAATTCTCACCTATAAAATCAACACCTCCAAATGAAATCGCTCTAACGGCACACGATCTCTCAGATAGTCTATGGATTCGCTCCTTGAGTCCTTTTCCTAACTCCCCTCCCCATCCTGGCTCAGAAGGGCAAAGAAGGGAGGAGGAGGAGGAGAGTGTAAGGAGGAAGGTCTCCAGGAGGAAGCAGGGAGAGCCCCGTGGGCCCACCTTCCTCGGGGCACCCCTCCCGCTCACCGACGTGTCCTCCGAGCATGAGGCAATGATGTTGTCAATGAAGGGGTTCCACTTGATGTCCAGCACGTTCCCCTGGTGACCACAGACCTTGGGGTAGTTGGGTTCAATCCTGCCTGTCTGCCGAGAAGAGAGAGAGAAGGAGGTTAGTTTGATGGCCCTGAACGGAGAGCCTTTATTCTGGCTTCTAAAATGTCTTATCTGTGCATGGCCCATGGCCACAGCCAATGGGGCAGCGAGGGCCTGGGGTGGGGGGTGGGAATAGGCTGGAGGGGGTCAATGGGAAAAAAGGGGACATGTGTAATACTTTCAACAATAAAGATTTTTTTTTTAAAAAAAGTCAAATTCATTAAAAATAAATAAATAAAAATAAAATGTCTGATTCGTCTTTGAGTTCGGCATCGGGCTGGGCCAAATTCCTCTGTGGCTGTTGTCCTCCCCAGCACTGACTATAAAGGGGGTGTGTGGGGGGGGTGGACACTACCGGTCCATACGCCACCTTTGTGCAAATCAGCAAAAGGTGCCTCTTCCTCAAGTAAAAACGTTGAGTTAAGATGACTGACCAAAGGCTGCTGCCCTGGCAGGGCACACACCTGGACACGTGGATGTATGCACTCTCCCCAGTGCCCGCACTCCCCACTGCCTCCAGGAGACCTGCTACAGCCGGTTCGGTCAGGAGGAGACGCTCTCCTGCTGTTCCAGGAGCCTGTGTCTACCTAAACACTGTCGTTTCAGTAACTCATTCTGCCTGAGACCTGGTGCTGCCCCTGATGAGGCAGCCTTGCTCCGTGTGCGTCTTAAACACCTGTACACAGTGCCTGTGGGTAAATCATCATCTTCGGAGTCACACACACCTGCGTTTGAATCACAGCTCTGCCGCCTGACAGCCATGCAGCCTGGGGAAAGTCAGTGAATTTCTCTTAGCCTTGGTTTCTTCCTTTCTGAAATGAGGATAGCAAGGCCTACCTCTCAGCATTGTTGTGAAGATTAAATGAGCTAATGTGCTTAGCAAGGTTTTTAATGTGTAGATTACCATTATAAAGACTGTCCAATATATGACAGTTATTGTTATTGGACAGGCTAGGTGACACCTCCTCCAGGAAGTCTTCCCTGATCTCAGTGGGTTAAGAGCTCCTCCTCTGTACGCTCACAGCATTCTGGGCTTCCCTCCGTGATAGCATCATCACGTGGAATTGCAGTCTGTTTCTATGTATGAGCAACTGAGGACAGGGTCTGTGTCTCCAAATCTCCAGCTTTTAATAAGCCTGGCACATAGTAAGTGCTCAGTTCATGATCTGAAAGACATCCTGTGAAGGGAATGGAGTCCACAAAAAATGGAACAAGGGATGTGGGGGTGGGGGATGCTGGAAGGGTAGGTCCATGCTTAGAGGCTATCAGGGTGACAGGGAAAGGAAGGAAAATTGTAGGCAGAAGCTGTGTCTTCACCTTTTTAAAAAAATGTTTTTATTGAGTTTTAGAGAGAGAAGAGGTGAGAGGGATAGAGAGATAGAAACATCAATGAGAGAGAAACATCATCGATCAGCTGCCTCATGCACCTTCTACTGGGGATCACGTCTGCAACCTGGGCATGTGCCTAACCTGGAATTGAACTAGTGACCTCTTGGTTCCTGGGTCGATGCTTAACTGCTGAGTCACATCGGCCAGGCTCCACCCTTTTAATACTAGTTTTTGGGACTTTGGAGGAAATAGAGTTCATTTAAGCACTGCTCATCTGCGAATGGTGTTAGGCAGTCAGAGGCACCTCAGGTAGGTCATACCTCACCCTCCTTTAGGTTCCTGGACTGAAAAACGAGGAACAGAACCAGTTTCTGCCAAGGCCCTGCTATGCGTGCCCTGTACTTCACCAGCATGATGGCGCAAGCGTGACTGCGGAGTGCTGTCCTGCCATCACCTCCCCACCCACGTCCTGCCTGCATCTCTATCAGCTCATTTCCAAGTCCTTTGACTTTCGTGTGTGACACAGCAGTGGCAGGATGGGCAGAGAAACAAGAGCCCTAAGAGGAAATGGCTGTGGGATGGAGGGTGAGGGATGAGGAGGAGTGAGAGAGGAAACACGCCTCAGAGGTTGTCCTCCAGAAAACTTGACTGAAGCTGTACCTAGTGGGGAAGTTAGAGATTCGGAGAGGATGGGTATCAGTGAAGAATGGAATCCCCTTTGACATGACAGATGCAATTCAAATTGGAGTATCTTTTCCAAGTTCTTTCAGACTGTTGGACAATGTTTCCGTAAATGAGACTTTAAGCAGAGACTGAGCCACATGAGGCCCTGGGATTTATTAGAGATACACCTTATCCTCTTTAACTCTTATGACAACCCTATGAGTGAGGCATGAGGAAATGAAGGCCCAGAAGGGTTAAGCAACAAGCCCAAGGTTCCCCAGCTGAACCTGAAATGCACCCTCTGAGGGGTGATCCTCAGAGCTGAGCTCTTTGAAGCTCACAGCTCGTCATTGGCCGGCTCCCCTCCTCCAGCTCCCACGTCCATGGGCAGACAGCCCTGCACTGTCTGCTCCCACAGCTCACGTACTCTCGGACTGAGCCGTTCCTGGCATTGGATCCCAAAGGCTGCGTCGGAATGATCCCCGAGCAATGCTGATTGCATTAAGCTTTTTGCACCCAGCCCGGCCCAGGCAAACCGGAGGGGCACAGAATCAGTCAATAGGTGGCCATCAGCTAACAGCAGCTCTGGCCAGCAGCCGGTGGGTGATGCACCAGAGGGGCCGGTGAAGCAACATCCCTGAAACCTACTCAGTATGGGGAGAGGTCAGAGCCCTGCATAGGGAAGAGAGTAAGACTTTTTGACACAGAGAAGAATCCTGATGTCATGCATAGGTCCAGGTGGACCTCTCTTTCTATCATGGATGCATCCCCATGGGGTGGGTATTTACAATGATCACGGCGTAAGCACACTGTTGTTTATGTGAATGGTGACCCTCGAGTTTTGCAGCACACAACCAACATGGCTCTCCGCGGCAGCCTTGAAGGGAAGGCTTTCAAACAAGGCAGCTCTGATTTTCCTGTTGTATATAGTAGGGTTTCGCATAAAATGTTGTTAGAAAGACAAGTTCCACTGGTAGGAAGAAAAGTTTGAAAACCAGTGTTCTATAGAGAAATCAAGCAAATTAAAAATACTATTATTAACTCCATGAAAAGAAGTTGTATATAAGAAAGCTAATACAATCATAATGCATGATTTATATACAGTATTTACATAGTTGTAACAATGGAAATTCCAAATATTTAAACAAGAGTTGTGCTTTAATGTGCTGGGAGGACAGAAGTGGGGGAAGTGTGTGTGTGTGTGTGTGTGTGTGTGTGTGTGTGTGGTAAGAGGGGAGATAGAGCCGGGAGAGAGTCAGATGCCCGTCATCCATAATAGGAAGTCAACAGACAAGGTCTAAGATTTTAAAAATAAGACATGGCAGTAAAAGCAGGTAATTAAGAAATATGGGGATAAGTGCAAAAAGAAACAGCTAAAAGCAATGCAAGTAGCCACTTTAAGGAGTGGGAAATGAGGGATGTAGCAAAGTGGATCAGGAATGGAGGGTAGAGGCCATGGTGTGCCGGTGAATGTTCAACAACTGGTTCTCCAGGGGGGAAAAGGCCCTGGTTTTGAGCATTTGCCCATGTGAGTGGTGTAAATATTCCCACTGTGGCTAATTTCAAGTTGCTGGGAGGATATCACCAAAAGCAGAGTTAGAGGAGAATCACAGTAGTACACATTACTAATATTTCTACCATTAGATACAGCCATCCCTTGGTATCTTCAGGGAATTGGGTCCAGGACCCCTGAGGACACCAAAATCCACAGACCCGCAGATGCTCAAGTGCCTTATAACTTACGCATACTCTCCCATATACTTTAAATCATCTCTAGGTTGCTTCTAATACCTAATGCAATGTAAATGCTATGTAAATAGTTGTCATATTGCATTGTTTAGGGTATAAAGGCAAGGAAAAGTCTGTACATGTTCAGTACAGATGCAACCATTATAGGCCTAATTACATAGTACAGGCCAGCAACAACGTAACTTCCCCCTCCATATTTTAGGTCTATGTTTGGTTGAATCTGCCGGTGTGTGTGGAATCCCAGCGTGTGAGAGACATAACCTCAAGAGCACAAACTAGTAACATAATTAGAAAGTAATGACTTTAATATTTAGTACCTCTGCTTTTAATATAATTTATTTAATTGAAAGTTTGCATAATTTAATTGTTAATAATAGCCGTGTTTAACAACCAACTTGCAAAACTGAAAATGTAACAACAGGCTCTCACAGGCCAGGACAAGCCGACTCCCGCACATCACGTGGGGTGCTATGGGCCCTGTCACACTGTCAGACTTCATGAACTCTGTATAATTTTCACTTTGCTAGACAGAAAATTAGAGAGCACACAAGTAAAATGCACACACCAGGTGTTCTAAAGGACGCTTGTTCCGAAATCTTAAAAGAATGTGAACAATCCAAAAATAAATAAATAAAGATGGAAAAAAATATGTGAACAATCCTCTTGCAGATCCCCTAAATGCCTGTTTTCTTTTAAAAAAATATTTTTTATTGATTTCAGAGAGGAAGGGAGAGAGAGAGAGAGAGAGAGAGAGAGAGAAAGAGAGAGAGAGAGAACCATCAATGATGAGAGAGAATCATCCCGGACATATCCCCTTGACCAGAATCAAACCCGGGACCCTTCAGTCTGCAGGCTGACGTGCTATCCACTGAGCCAAACAAGCTAAGGCCGAATGCCTCTGTTCTCTGTTCCAGTTTCTGTGTGGGGTGTGACTAGAGACCAAATCCAGACCTGGCCCTTGACTGCTGCACAGTGCTACCTTCTCATACTCGTACACACACTAACACGCACACCAACACAAACAGCTGTGGTTACTTTACATTAATGTAGTCAAACTTAATCCTCAGAACCCCAGCTTACAGCTGAGAAGGCAGAGGTTTAATGAGTGGAGTCAAAGCTTCTTCGTGTTTATAACTTAGAATCACAGAACTGTCCCAGCACAAGGTTCTCAGGGGCCTGCGTCTCCGCTGCCACCTGGTCCTTGAACCGCAAACAGAGCTTCAGCCTCAGCAGACCTTGTTGCTGCTACT